CCATTTTGAAGGGTTCTCCTCAAAAGCCTCACTAAAAATCATGCTAGAAACCCACTCTTTCCAAGTGGTTCTTCTGTACTTATCCTCCTCCAATGTGCCTGTTGCCAAGAGCTGATACACATAAACCATCTTTTGCTGACCAGGACGAAAGGCCCTTGCTATAGCCTGCTTTGTCTTTGATGGATTCCATTCTGAGTCCAAAAACACCACTCTAGAAGCTGCTGTCAAGCTGATACCTGTTAAAATATAAATAAGGTTTCATATTATTAGAATAAAAGAATAAATACAAGTTTATAAATACACAGATTTTATTAGTTCGAAAACTTTTGAATAATGACTAAAAATGATATATCTCAACAAACTACAACGAGATACAAAACAGCATATCAATACCTTCAGCACAAGCTGTAATTGAAGCAAGAAGTACCTTTGATCCTCCTCTAGGATCCTCAAACTTATCTATAACTTTCCCACGTTCAAAGAGATCTAGTTCCCCACTGATTGACAAAATTTCTCTATCTTTTTCCCATTTGAAGAACATCTCAAATAACTCTATTAGTAGCTTCATAGGTGCAAGGTTGTGGCAGAAGATGAGTACTTTCTCCCTCCTCATGACACGAAAAACAATGCTCAAAACAAATTTAACTTTTGACCCTATTCTCACATCAAACTTGCATTTCCGTAGCTGCTTCAGTTGCTCCAAGGTGAAAAACTTATTTGCACATGTGACTGTTTGAACCAGCCATGGATGTATTGATCCAAGGGTTACCAAAAGCTCTAACTCTAGAGGGTAACCTTTGCACTCGGCCATTCTCGTGTGAAGTTTCAGCAACATTTCACGTTGCATGTCTGTTGTATTCATTAACAACGTATAGATTTGCAAACCGGGAACACTCTCAAAATTGCCACTCTCATAAACATCTATAAAACTATTTGTGATTTCTCTCAACATGTTTAGACCATTCATCCTCTCCTTTCCAATATCCGAGTCAATTTTCTTAGCAATGTTATCTAAGAACAATTTTCTAGCTCGTGACTCTAGTTTATGGCGTGCCTTCCCTGCGGTTTTGCTTTTCCTTTGGTAATTCGGGTCTAATCCATTCAGCACTTCGTGAATAAAATTTGGTCTTGCCAAGCAAAGTGAGTTGAAGTATTCACAGAAATTGTTCTGAAATAATGTACCTGAAAGTAGTATTCTTAGGTCGGTTTCCACTTTCATCAAACCTTTCCTCAACCTTGATTTAGTGCTTCTAGGATTGTGCCCTTCATCAAGTATGAGCACCCCAGGGCCTTCCCTCAATGCTTTAGCCATATACTTTCTGTGTGCGAACTCTGAACCCTCTCGAATTAATGACAGAAATTTAGTATAACTCATGACTAAAACACTAGGGTGTTCTTGCCACTTTTTTATCTTGTTTAGGCAGTCCAAAACATGCTTTACATCTTTACTTGGATTTGGAACTCCAGGAAGAACAATTGAATTTTGATTGAAATCTCTCTTTCCATGGCCATGAATCAGATACACGGGCAAAGAAATCTCCCATTTGATGAATTCTTTGTACCAAGTGTGAAGTGTAGTTTTTGGTGCAAGGATAAGAGGCTTCTTCCCTGGGAATAGCTTTAAATAGCTAAGGAGAAATGCAATGATGAGAAAAGTTTTCCCAGCTCCAGGAGCATGAGATATCACACAACCCCCTATTCTTTTGGACTCTGCTTCCATAAGTGTTGGTTTCATTGACCCTCCAATATTTTGCCAAAGAAATTCAAATGCTTTCTTTTGGTGGACATGCATCTTTTCGCTGAGTTCAGGTATCAACTTCCAAACGTTATCATGTTCCATATATACAAGTTCATCACTAGAAGCATGAGTTGAGAACAAATGGAAATCATCATCTTTATCAGACTTTGACTCTGACTCTTTTCCACTGCATTGCTTCTCCTCTTGGTGCCTCACTGGATGTTGCACTTCCATCTGCCAATGTGAACAAGGTTATCAGATTAAACAATTCTATATGAGGAACTAAATTTACATTTGTATAGGCTTTTTGAGAAGAGCATTAAAGAAATCAAATCACACGTTTCTAGTTTTGAACTTGACTTACGAAGGGTTGTGTGACATGTTTTATCTCGGTTTTCACAAAGCCACATTTGTAGCAATAGATTCCAATTTCTTCATCCAATCTGTAATCATGTTGACAAGTGTTATTAGATTCTTCCATTGTCTCAGCAAAATTGGCACCATTTGAATCCTGATGTGATAGTTAAACTGAATCAACCTTAGAAAATAAGATAAAAAAACAAAATATACCAAAACATAAGAAGTACTAGCAACACTTTCCTTTTAACTATCTTTAGACTTCGTTATTTAATAAAATTTATTGAAAACTATAAAATCATAGGTGAAATTCATTAAATATGAAGTGAGATTCGCAACATTATATGATTTATAATAAATTTCACTCAAAAATAGAATGTGTTACTAGAATTTCTTATAGATACAAATAAAAGAAATGTGAAAGATAGGGAAGGGAATCAATTGTTACACCTTCATTTCTTCAAAATAACTTGATGCCAATGCCATTTCCATTTCTTCCCACAACATATCCATCTCGGAGATTTTTTTCTCATCCTCTCTTTGAGGTATTTTTACTTCCTTCCTTTGCCCCAAGTTGCATATTTCCTTCCACTGGTCCTTTATAGGTGTCTCTTCTGTAGTTGGTATTCTATTAATATCCTTCAAGTATGAATCTATCATTTCCTTGTAAGCGGCTGCATTTAAGCTTCTATCTTTATAAGCTTGTTCTCCATCCTGACTTTTGCTTCTTGAATACCATGAACTGTGTCTTTTCTCTCTAACTCCTTGATTGGAATTTATGCCTTCCCTTCCAGGATCAAAATCTGCATAATCTTCCTCATCAAACAATCTCTTCCTATGAAACTTACGGGTGCTGTTACGTGGCTTACTTCTAGTAACCTTATCATTGAGAGGACGATCCTCAAGGGCTGATGAATCACCTCCCTCAAGAAGGGGAACAGTAGCAAGTTGAGTTTGATGTTCATTTTGATTGTCCTCTCTTGACTTTACTTCCTTGGTTTTATTCCTCCTATGGTACACTATAATCTCCCGGCAAGAACTCATTTCCTTGGCCTTTTGATTATTGCCACCATCCTCTTCTATACAATTCTCTAGCAATTCAAACACCTGTGCTAATGGCAATGCCTCTTCATTGTCGTGGTCGTTGTCGTCATCATCATTCCGTTTGTTGAACTTGTATGGCCAGGTTCGAACATTACCAACCTTTATCTCAGAAACTTTACCACAACCAATGAAACGTTCAGGTTGCATGTTCCTACGTTTGGATCGTCGTAAGCCCTCAACAACATAAGATGATGGTGACACTTCATCATCATGTTCATGGCCACTTCTATTGGTGTCAGAAACATCAACTTGAGAAACAACGGGCCACGACATGCCTTCCTTGTCAACTTTGAAGCTCACAACACTTATATGAGAATTCATGTTTAATGAAGAGCTTGTGGCATCACTTCCCAAAATTTGATACACAATCCTGTTTTCCACAGATCTTGCACAGAATGAAACATTCTTTACAACAGATGTAACAACCAACCATGAAATGTCAGATAGAAATTTTCCGAAGAGCAATTTAGAATGTAGTACTGTGGAGCAGTCTTCAGATGATTCCCATCGATAGTGTTGGTTTTCACAACTATTTCGCTCAAGCTTTTGGAGAATGACAATTTCATTTATTCCAACTACTTTAAGCTTCTTACTAAGAGTTCTTATCTCTGTACCAAGTGAACCTTGATCAACGTAGCAGTTTACATAATACTGACACGAACACTCTGCATTATGGGTTTTTCTCTGTATGGAATTTATTTTAGCATCAATCCACACCTACAGTTAAAAGAGAAAGAGAAACCTAATCAGACTTGGAGACTACAATTCTCAAATTAAAGGAGCTACAGCATTAACACAGGTGCTAAAAACAACATCAAGAAAAGATAGGCCATAATGATGATCACCTAATAAATACATACAGACACCAATCTCTTAGATTAATAAAACAAAGAATTGTTACCAAATAAAGTGTGTTTTATTTGACTATCATCTCATTCAGGCAAGTAATAAGTATCAAGCAATCAACGTCATGGAAGAATATGAACTAGTAATCTATAATGTCAACAATACTGAAACATTTTGTTAACCAGTTTTTTTATTAGTTAAAATTTATTAAAAATTACAAAATTTGCGAAACCCACCATCTTATTTAATAAACCTATCTAATAAATTTGTAATTTTCAATAAATTTTAATCTATAAAAAAATGTATTAAATAAATGTAATAGTGAGTGTGTTACTAGAAGTCCTCACCACCGAAGAAGAATTGGACATAAAATTCAATTTAATAGAAAACTACAATTAAAAGACCTTAACTTACATGATTAGCACCAAATTCATCTGAATTGTCACTACACTGAGATGCCGAGAGAACACATATGTCAATCCCAGGTCGTAAAAAGTTGTAGCAATCTGATAAAGTAGCTTTCCTTGACCTTATTCGAAGGTCTGAAAAGAGGCCTTTTTCCGTGGTCATATGGTGATTGTCTGCAAAATGCAGGGTCATAGTTCCTGACTCAATTTGTATGAGCTTCACGGCTTGCCATGATGTAGATAAAAACGCCTCGAAAGCTATTCAAAAAGAAATCTGAGGGAGTTACCATTGTATGAAAACTAATGAATGTGAGCATCATATGATTATTATGGAAAAAGAAAAAGTTGTAGCCAATAGGTACACATAATAGGAAAGAACTAAACATGTTTCCAATATCATAAAATCAATTCTCTATTGAACTTTATTTTCCATTTATTGTTTTTCTTTAATTTTCCATGCATGGTAATGGACAAAAGAAGAGGAAAGACTTACGATAAGCATCAAATGGATGCTTCCATTGATGTAAATGTCTTTTTCTATGCATCATTGAGTTTGACTTACCAGATTTTCCCATCTTGTATTGTGTGCACCTGAAGTACTAGGTAGTTATTAGGGCAGCAAATATAAATACAAACTTCCATTTAAGATCAAGGCTTCAATAAGTTTGTGCAACAAAGTAGCTAATTCTTGACATACAATACTAGAGATATAAATCATGTGTCTCTGGAAGGCACTGGCAAAAACGAGTTACAATGCAATCTCCCTGGCATGTAAATATACCTGCTTTTATATCCATAATTTATATGTTCAGAAACAATACCCCTTATACCAAGAAGAAGAAAGAAATTAATGAGTGTAGATAGAATGATATAGTAGTACTCACATTCACTCATCCAAACGTATTTCTGCAGACTCTGTAAAACATCTCGACTTTATGTGGTAGAGTAAGTCAAACAGCAGTATTTTTTACCAACTTTTTCATCTCTCTATATGTCTCTTCATTTTTCATGTACAAACAAAACTATGTAAAAATAAGTTACGTTAACAAAGGAAAAAACCCTCGCCGTCATCAGATTAGTGACATTTCGCAGAAGTGAAACGCATGATATAAACTGATTCAAATTTTTTTTTTTTTTTTGTACCCAGTTAACGTACTCATGAAATAGCATTGATAACAAGAAAAACGGTTGTTTTTTTAAAAAACTAGTCTCCATGAACATGATGAATTCAAAAACAAGCCAAAAGTTCTTTTACACTGGCAAAAACACTCAAACTTCAAATGCATAACAAAGAGATGATGTACCATGCATATAATATTGTCAAACACATCAAACCCTGATAAACATGTTGCACGTACAATACTGGAGTCAATCTTTACCTGAAAGTTTTGAGAGATATATACTCTCAAAACTTAAGGTGCAGCAGGCAACGTTGCACCAAAGAAAACATGCAGAGCATGGAGTAGAAGTAGAACAAGGCCTTACGTTCAAATTAAAGACTTAAATTTTGTGTATATCCATTTAAGAGAGAGATTGAACGTTGTGGACATTTGCCATTAAAGAGCAAGATCGGATACTAACAATAAAAAGAAAAAATATCGGTCAGAAACAAATCAAATAATTAATCAACGGTACGTTACGTGCAAAGCTCTATGCCCAATAACGTGACACTGAACATTAATATTATTTTTATATCTATAAATTATTATCTATTTTATTATATATTATAGTCTTATAGAAGAATATCCTGCTATCTGGAGAAAAATCATGTTACATTATTATTATTATTATTATTATTATTAAATTTAATACTTTTATTTTTAATTAATAAAAATATATTATTGTAGTTAATTATAGTAAAAAAATGTTCTTAATAAATATATTTTGTTAAAATTAATCAATTAAATCATTAAATCTTAAATATAACTTGACCAACAAGTCATTGGAATTGAACTTGAATTTTTTATAGTAAATAATAATATTATTATTGTTGATCTTATACAAAATAATTAATAAGTCTGTTTAATCATGTTTGTTAGGATTTAATTCCTAATCGATCGCATGCATGAAAAGTTAAATTTGGTTGACACATAATGGATGCATCGCTACATTCAACAATGAAATGACATGTCATTAAAAAATTTAAATAAAAAGAAATAAAAAAGATAATTTCTCTTGTAAGTGTTAATTGATTTGGGACCTCGTACAAAATAATTAAAATATATGTACAAAGAAAAGTCACTTAATCATTGATTTGAAAATATTATTTTAATGGCTATTATCATCTATTTTACTTTTAATTGTTGATTGATCGATCGTTCAAAACTAAAAGGTGTGACTAAGTTGCATTATGATCGACTTTAGTTACTATTTTTAACACATAACAGTGTGATTTTAATTATTTTTGAAATTTCTATTATCATTAAAAGGGTATATAGCTCACTTAGTTAGGTAGGATGAGAGAGTTATTGTAAATTTTCCTAATACTAAATTTGATTTTAATAGATAAAAAAAAATGATATTGGTAATGAAGGTGACCAATGATTTTAGTTCTCAATTAGTTAGTTTCGTCTTTTTAATTTATTTGAGTTCTTGTATACTTTGATTTTTTTTTTATTTTTTGCAACGGTATTTTTGAACTTAAATCAATCTGATTCGATTGTGAGGTAAATAAAATTTGACCAAGGATTATTTTTGTCAAGAATCAAACTCAGTTACTGTATGAACAATTCGATCTTGAGTTTAATATATCAATCACTTATATCCAACTTCTTGGTTTGTATATTTTGATTGTCTTTATGTTTCAAATTAGTGTATTTGAGTTTATTGATCCTTAGTTTATATAGTTAAATATATGAAAAAATAATGATTAACATTTATATTGGTGATTGGAATCATGTCAATACTTGAATCACAAAAATAAAATTAAAAAATTAGTTAATTGAATCTATAATAAATTATTATAATTATTTGATTATACATTTTATGAATATAAAATATTTTTATGGAAAGAATAGTTTCTAAAGTGTTATTTTATATATATATATA